TTCAATGAGTGAATGAATTTTTAAGAAGGCACACTGATAACTCAATTTAGGTGAGGCTCCAGCTCCTCTTGAAATCTAGTTGGGAGGATCAAATGAGAGAAAGTACACGAATGGTGCTTTGAAAACAAAGAACTGAGTAACTGTAAGATATTTTATTATGATAATTTCTACACCATAATATTCACCAAACTATTGATTTCACTACATATTAAAGTTCCTTGAATTCTACCAAATATTAGCTGTAAAGAGTATTCTAAAATACTTTCATAGCGTTCTGTGTACTCCGTTCTATTCCTTATACTTCTTTACAGAGTGTATTTTAAGCATAGTACTAAAATTTGGTGTCACAGAGAAAGTTGCGGTAACTTATAAGCTTTGGTTTCTAGAGACTTGAAGAAGTTTTTCCATCTTTCTGGTATTTTATTCCTGTCAGTTTGCATTGCTTCTTTCCTTTCCTTCTTCTCCTCAGCCAGGTTTGGTTTTGAGCTTTGGATTCAAAGAAACCCCAAATTCAAAACAAAATGGTCAGAAATGCTGACTCTTGTTTTGTAACCTTTTTTAGTCCAGCATTCACAGGAAGACAGGGCACTGACCAGAATTTGGGACTAACTTCACCCAAAATGTTGGCAAAGTTCAGGAACCTTGGAATGAAGTTGGGCCAAAGATACAGATATATAACAAAACTTCAACACTTTTCTAAAACATTTAAATATATATTAATGAAATATCACCCTATAAAAAGTAGATTTTTTACTTAAAATTAATTATTAATTTGCCAGCTATTTTTGATTAAAATTAAATTACCTAATTTACATTTTGTATTAAATAGACTATCTTGTTCTTGAAAGTTACAGGTACATTTTGGAACCTTACCTATAAAATGTACTGAAGTGTCTTAGTTACTTTTTTTTTTTGAGATTTGTAATTACAAAAAAAAAAAGTTATATTAAACTGGCTTATCAAGTTTCAACTAAGAATTTTTATAACCATGTTATAAATCTTCCACAATAGTGTTTTTATAATGGGAATGCTGACAAATGCAATAATAAACACCAACCCAACGATCTTAATTGTATGTTCATGCATGCTAGCATAATATTTGGTTCAATTTCCAGTGCTCATTTTGCCAAAATCTGCTTTCACATTGGGCAACTGTAAACGATGATCAGCCTGAATGACTGCCTGTTGATGGCAAAGGCTTCTGATTATTTTTACTTTCCTTGGAAAGCCTGATTATGTCTTCCAAATATGATTTCATTTAGATCCTTTTTTTGGTTTACATGTCTGAATACTAATAGTAACCTGATAGTTATGGGGAACTTAGTTTGAGACCAAAAAAGCAGTTTTCAGTCAGCAAGGAGTGTATAAATAAATTGACTCCAAGAACATCTAAAATGATACATTCCAAGGGTCCAAATAACTTTAAGATTTCTAAAACTAATCATTACAATTTTTCATAAGTAATTGACACCATTAGGGTTTTTTTTTTAAACTGGTAGAAGGCATTGAAAAACCAATGTCACCCTGGCCAGGCAGCTAATTGGTTAGAGTATCATCCAGAAACACCAAGGTTGTGGGTTCAATCCTGGGTCTGGGCACATATGAGAATCAGCCAATGAATGCATAAATAAATGAAACAACAAATCTCTCTCTCTCTCTCTCTCTCTCTCTCTCTCTCTCTCTCTCTCTCTCTCTTTCTCTCTCTCTCTCCCCCCCTCTCCTCTTCTCTTCTCTTCTCTTCTCTTCTCTTCTCTTCTCTTCTCTTCTCTTCTCTTCTCTTCTCTTCTCTTCTCTTCTCTTCTCTTCTCTTCTCTTTCTCTCTCTCTCCAATAACAAATTTTATTAAAAGTAAACCAATATTCAGGGATGTTTCTATCAATGTTGACTTAGGAGATGATAAAGGATAAAACAATTTTAACATATGTTGTTTTATATCATAAAGCCATTGTATTATAAAGTACACCGAATTTGTGCATATAACATGGAAAAAATAAAAACTATCACATTGCTTAGAAAAGTTGAGTGTAGAGATATGGAGGTGCAATAGATTCATAGTCACAATGCAGATTATGTTGTCTTATCTTTAGGGATAATTTTGTGTAAGGAAAAATCTATCGATTTCTCTGTGTTTCTAATCCTTAGTTGGCTTCAAATTATTTCATTAATACAATGATCTGAAAATGTCTTGAGACTTCATATTTTTAAGCGGCTTCCAAACATATTAAAAACATACAGAGAATAAAGTATTTATAAGCTGTAACAGTTTTAAGAATGGTGAACATGTTCCTATTAATAATAGGAAAATAGCTGTTTATTTGGATGTTCTTCAGGCATTCTTTACTATGCTGGAGAGATGTTACTGCAGGATATTATGTGCTTGTTCAGAATACAACAATGGTTCATAACACGAGGGAGAGGATTAAGGATGATGGCTGTATTTACTCTTCAGAACCCAATGATTTTGAGGTCCTTTGCAGTTTAAAAAAACGTGGTTTTCAAAATTGGTTCTTTCAACAAATATTAATGATTCCTAGAGTTGAACCTTTTTTTTTTTACTTATTTAAAATTTACAGGTTATTTTTTAAAATGATGTTTAGGTTTCAGGACTTTAAATGGGAGAAGAAAGGGTACTTAGTCTGTTTGGAACCCATGCACACTATATGTAAAATATCAACACAATTTTTAATTGAACAAATGAATAACTGGATAAACATGAGGGCCCTCAGGAGCCACTAGCACTCTGTAAGTTGGGAAGCACAGTTTTGATGATGAGATGAAAAATAGTTATTTTTCCTTTAACCTGCTGAAATGAGTAATTTTAAATTTATCTTTAAAAATACAAATATGCTATTCTTAGTATTGGAAATGTCTAGAAATAGAAAATAAAATGAGTAATTTATAAAACTGATATAGAGGTCATTGTCCAAAATTTCATTCCCCCTCCCCCCCCCCCCAAAAAAAAAAATGTGCTGGAGAACAACAAATCACACAACACTGCCTGATGGTGGTGTTTGGTCTTAGCTGGTTACATTTTTTTTTCCTTTTACCTGTTTATCCTCATGTTCTTGTAGTAGAAGTAGAAAAATCCAAGTGAAAAGATGCAGTCTCCAAGGAAAAATTTACCTTTTTGAGTCACCTTTAGGAGGGTGGTCATTTCAGAACTAATGCAGTGCCCACAGGCAGGAGAAGTGGGAAAACTTGTACAGGAAGGCACTGAGAGACAGAAGCGTCCCTGAGATGCTGGTTCGGGGGAGTAGAACTGGCAGGACTTACCTGGGAGGCAGTCTGGCCATTTGTAGTCACAAACTTAAATGTTCATTTGATGCAGAAATTTCATGTCTGATATTAGGAAATTGTCACAGGCAGGAATAAGGATGGTCTCTGCATCATTTATTTTTTTTTAAATATGCACTTGTAAAGGATTGGAGTTAAGTTGTGAAACATCAATACGACAATAAACTATGGTAATTAAAATTACATTTGGATGATATTTAAAGTCAAAGGAAATGTGTTCATTCCATAATACTGAGTGGGAAAAGATCAGTACTCAAAACAAGTCTCAAACTTGTTATTGAATTTACATCTGTATATATTTAAAAAAAAACAACTAAAAGGATATAGGTAAACATGCTTTATGGCCCCGTGGAGTGATTTAAATGTTATTCCTTTCTTTTAACCTCTGTTTTCCCAACTTTCTAGGATGCGTATATATTACTTCTTAACATATTAATTATATTTCTAAAAGTATGAATATGAATTTTATTTCTAAAAGTATGATAGGGACTGTGTTTGTGTGTGACACGAAGAGGTGGGAGAAAAAGTAAAGTGTTGAGAAATGGGGATTTATCCTTTAGGGTTACTGAATTTACAGTAAGGTGGGCATTCACTCCCGTTCCGCTCCTCACAGTTACTCTTATTTGAAAACCGCCAGTTCAGTTTAGCAGGTCGCCCACTGGGGAATGGCAGAGTCCAACCTGGAGTTGGCCCTCAGCATGGTCCTGCTTCAACCGCATCTCCATGGCACACGCTTTTGGGAAGTTGAAGGATGCATCTCTTCGGACTTGTTACCTCCTCTGTCCCTGGAGGAGACTGGAAGGAGAGCTACCTTTCCTGCTTTAAAAGTGCGCGCTCCTCTCAGGGGGACTCTGCGCTTGGGGAGACCCCGCCCTTTGCCCCCAAGGACCCCCTACATCCTCCCACTCCCACCACACACACACACACACACACACACACACACACACACACACACACGTACATAAGGAGACTGGAAGCATTGCCAGCTGCAGGGACGTCGGACGCCCCCAGGAGCACTTGGGGCGCCTGGGGAAGCACTGCCCCACCCGCCTCCGAGTTCTCCAAACGGGGTAGCCAGTAGAAGGAGGGGAGGGGCGAGGCCCTGAGGCCAGGTGGCGCGCTCTCTGGACTCCTCTTCCTCCCGCACCTTTTTGTCGTCTCCTTAGAAGCTTGATTAACCGACCGAGGGAGCCCCTAGGCCTCTCAGGAGACCCGTACCCAGCACCCTTCCCGGGTCCCCGTTCCTGGATCTCCAGAAGTGCGCAGGCCTGAGCGGAGCGCATGCCGGGAGACTTAAGTTCAAAAAATTAAAATTCTATTTTAATGTCTATTTTTTATATATATATAAAAAGCCAAGAAAGAGAGATTGGACTCCAGAGAAGCCCCCGAAGCCTGCGGTTTGCGGAGACGATTAGCATCCCCCCGCACCGGGCGCGCAGAAAGATCTGCGGGGCGCGCTTCCCGACGGCCCAGGCACCCTCCGGGTCCCAGCGGCGCCGCCCGCCCTGCCCCGCACTCCCCAGCGAGCGAGCGTGTTGGTGTCCACGCTTCGAGGGCCGCGAGGATGGCACAATCCCCAGCTGGGCTCAGAAGGTCAGATGCTGGGTCTCGATGCGTCCCTCCGGGCCTTCCAGCCGCACCCGCCGCCAGTCTCCAAAGACATTACGATCCAACCCTCCTGGGCCGGGCACCGAGGGGCTGGGCGCGCGGCTCAGCGGGCCTCCTTCTCCTTGCAGCTCTGCAGGAGCTCCGTCATGAAGGAGATGTACACGATGGCCAGGCGGAGGGTCTCGATGCGGGACAGCCTCTTCTCGTAGGCGAACGTGGGCACCTTCCTCCGCAGCCGGTCGAAAGCCTCGTTGAGGTTGAACATGCGCTTCCTCTCGCGGACGTTGGCGGCCTGGCGCTGGGCGTGGGTGATCACCCTCTTCCTCCGGGGGCGGCCTGGCAGGGAGGCGCCCCTCCCGGGCTCCTCTTCTCCTTCCTCCCCCTCCTCTCCTTCCCCTTCCTCCTCCTCTTCTTCTGGATCCTCCTCCTCAAAGGGCGCCAGGCTCCTGGGTTGTCGTCCCTCCTGGAGCGCAAGGCCCCGGTCCCCAAAGGGGAGCCCGGACGCAAAGTCGCAGAGGAGGGGGTGCCCCGGGGAGGAGAGGGACAGGTCTGCGACGAAGCCCAGCACCGCGGCGTCCACGCAGCTCTCCGGATAGACCGCCATCTGGTCCTCTTGGGCCTGTGTCTCATGGGCTTCTCGCAGGGAGAGGCGAGATGGGGGATCGGCTGCCTAACTTCCCCAAATCTGATGCGACAGCCACACCGAAGGGTCCCGGGGGCCTTAGTATTTGGAACCAAGCTGGTCCCAGGATGAGTCGCACCGATTGGCAAGGCTATGGCGACGTCCCTATTCTGGAAACCGATGGGAGGAGACAGCTGGACCAGGCCCCGAAGACTCTCAGAGACAGGCCTCCAAGTGGAATATCCATTGCGGTTCGCCACCTGGGGCAGTTCCTTCTTGGCCCGAACCCCCAGCTCTTACCTGCTGTGCCTTTTTTGTGTGTCTCTCCTCGCCCCCAGGCCAACTAATCATTCTCCAGGCTCCTCATCTCACGTGGCTCTTGCATTTAGAAGGGGCTTTTCAAAGCCAGGATGTTTTCCACCTCTCTGGCTTGTCCTTGGCTGCTCAGTCGGAGTCCTGAACCTTGCCACCCTGCGCTGCCCATGAGCATGAAACCCGTGCTTTTAATGAGGTCCCTGAGAGGGGCCCTGGCTGCCAGGGGTCGAGGGGGGGGGCTGTTTGTGTGGTATCCCAGCACGGAGCTTGGTGAAAGGCAAGCTCTCCCATTAGCTTAAGTAAGCATGGTTGGGGGCCCCAGAGCACATTCCCCAGAGTCGCTCTTGGAACCGGCTTTTGCCTCCTCCAGCAGCTTAAACATCTCCCCTGCCCGTGTTACAAACCCCAAACCCCGGCTTCTACAGTCTGTTTTCTCCCAAGAAGCCTAACAATTCAGACACTTGACTTTCCTTTTCCTACCCTTATCTTCTACTCATGTAACATAGAAAATTTCACTCCCAGGGCAGAAGTTAGGAGGGCAATAAAGTGAAGAGGGGCAGCTGGGCGTATTTTCCCAGAGCTTGCTCTAGTGTATAATCCCAGCGTAGGGGGCAAAGCAAACCCTCGCCGCCCCCCAAACAAAACAACCTCAATCTCCTTTCAAACATGCAGTTTGCCCTTTAGAAAACCCATGGGTCCACGGGCTCAGCCTCTGTTGAGAAGTCTTTCCAATTTTAAATTGCTGATCAGTATTTGTGAAGAAAGAAAAATCCTGGCATGTCCATCTGGCTTATGTTCCTCATTGATCTGCACTGCCCTACAGGACAGAAAAGCAAAAACGAAATGTCCTTTCGTTCTGTCTATGGGAGGTTTGTGTGGTTGTTGTCATCCTTAAATCGTTTTGTTAAGAGGAACAAGGAAATGTAAATGTAATATTGCAAAAATGAAATTTTACTGACTGTATATTGTTATCTCTAATATTTTAACAAAGAAGAGTTTATTTTTCCTATTAGAAGAAATAGCCAAGATATAAAAATAAAAAAGATGAGCAAGGAGACGCATTGGTTCCACACAGAATCGAATCACCAGGTACATCAGTTCCTATTAAGGAGGTAAGTTGTGACTATGATGGCTCAGTTAGTACATTGGACAGCTCCCAGAAACGGCCTATTTCTAACAGGTAAGCCTAATTCTTTTTTTTCCTAGATTCCCAGTATGCACTCACAGACACCGTTATTAAAGCAGTGCCACCTAGACTTCTTCTTTTTCCTTCCTTTTTAACCCACTTGTGTCGGAGCCCCTCTTGTTCTTTGTCCTTTAACTGGTTTTCTTTTTTCTTGCTGGTGTTTACTCTCCACGCTCCCAACTTTTGTTGTAATAACTCAAGCAGAGAGGAATTGAAATTTACAACTCTGAAAGATATTAATGAGAAAGAGATCTTTGATTATGGTTACATATTTTGTTTTTACTAAACTTCTTTCAAAGAGAAGAGTGAAAAATAAAAATGAATTAGAATTTCAACAATGGCTAAGGAATAGTAAATGGAAGAATTCATTGTTGTATTGACAAGCAGTAACATGCTTTCTAATGTTTGTATAACTTTGTGTTATTATATAGTTGGACACATTTTAGAGTTGATTTTTTTAGTTGTTAAATGTTTTTCATGGCTTAAATTTCCCTTTTACATGCATACATAAGTGGGTAAATAACTGGTGAGATTCTAGTTCCACAACAAAATAAAATAGGATATGTAATTAAAGGAAATGACAAAAAGTTAAATTTAAAATGTAACAAAAGAGGTGTCAGACACTATCATGAGACATAAAAAATCACTTTTCTTAGACTAAAATTCTTTAGATTTTATCCAAGGTAATGAATATTTCAACAACTATATCACACAGAAATTGTAGCAAAATTAATGGGATCAGCATGCATAATTAGTTTCAAATAGTTACATTAAAATACTGAGAAATTTGTAAAATTGTCTTAATAGGCATGTCTTTAGCAATAATTTAAAAATACTTTCTATTTTTTTTTTTTTTTATAAAATCAGAAGATAAACACTTCTGGTTATACCACAATAATTTCAGTTTATCTTACAAGGTTTTAATCCTGGTACTAGAATTAAAGAAAAAAATGTTAAAATTAGGTTATAATGATTGAATATTTTTTTGTTTATAAATATAATTAATTATGGAAAAGAAACAAGTAAAATTGATTTTCTCTATTTATTTTGAAGCATCCACTTTATATAAAGATGTATTTGTGGATATTTGGTTCCACAGTAAATATATATACACGTATATTAATGTATAAAATACTAAATGGTTTAAAACAGTTCATCCCATTGGAAGAAACCATAATTTTCATTTCTAGATTTGAAAGTTAAGAGAGAAACATTTTTTCAAAAACCCAACTGAATATTAAAGGAGGCAACTTCAAATTTGTTTCTTTTCAGTTCTAGGCCTTTAATTTATAATTATTCAGTAACATACATGGAGGCTTTTGTAATGGGTTTGATAAACCTTCCATGAATTTTGCTCAAGATGTTTAGGAAATGATCTTGAAATGAGAGTTTTGCTTAATTTATTGCTTCTGTAACTCTACTGATTGTCCCAATTAAACATTCAACATTTTGTGTATACTCTTTTCTTGTATCCAGAATCAAAGTAGAAAAAAACCAAATGACTAAGAATAATTTGAGCAGAAACTCTTTTTTTTCTTTCTTTTAAAAATAGTATTTTATTGATTTTTTTACAGAGAGAAAGGGATAGAGAGAAGCATCAATGAGAGAGAAACATCGACCAGCTGCCTCCTGCACACACCCTACTGGGATGTGCCCGCAACCAAGGTACATGCCTTTGACCAGAATTGAACCTGGGACTCTTGAGTCTGCAGGCTGACACTCTATCCACTGAACCAAAGCTGTTTCAGCTGAGCAGAAACTCTTAAGGGGGATGGAGGATGGAGTTGAGTAGTAAGGAGAGAAAAGTAGATTTAAAAGTATTCAGAGGGTAAAGCAAATACCTAACTCTCCCAAAATGTGTTAAACTTCCCTTTTCGATGCTCTTTCCTTTATTCTTACTGAATCATTAAGCAGCTTAGGGAAAATGATAAGATAGGACAAAGGTAAATTTTTGTCATGTTTGTAGGGGAAAAGGTCTAAGAAATAATCCTTTGGGTGACATAAAAAAAGGGGCTGTATCCTCTTCTGACTCAGTATCAAATTATGTGTGGCTTATGGCCATGGCTCATTTTAGAATTAAAAAAAAATTGCATCTACTTTATTTTTCTATTTTAGGTAGACTTTTTTTTTTTTAAGTTGAGTTTATATTTAGAAATTCACAGTTATATATGCAGCTTAATGAATTTTCATAAAATAAACATACTCAGGAAACTAGTACACAAATCAAGAAATAGAGTGATTTATTGAAAATAGAGATAATGAAAAATAGAACAATCATAAGTGTATCATTTGAGACTATTTCAACTTCCCCTACATCCTCATACTCAGTCACTAGCTACTCTCCAAAGTACCACTATCTGAGGTATGATTCCTGATTTCTCAGATTAATTAGCCAATGTTGCACATCATATAAAAATAAACCATACTCTGTGTACTCTTGTGTCTTTCACTCAACTTTTTATGAAATATATGCATATTATTATCATTGCCAAATAGTACTTCATTGTATGAATATACCTCCCACTGTTAGTGGGTATTTGGGTAGCTTCCAGTTTTTAGACATTACAAATTGAATTGATATGGATACTGTATATATTTTTGGTGAGAAGGTTAGCTTCCATCCTTGTCAAAAGTTGGCTTTTTCAAGCCATTCTGAAGATGTGTATACTTTTAACTTGCATTTCCACGATGACAAATGATCTGATCTTTAAAATGTTAGTGTAGCCCTAACAGGTTTGGCTCAGTGGATAGAGTGTCAGCCTGTGGACTGAAGGGTCTCAGATTTGATTCTGGTCAAGGATATGTACTTTGGTTGTGGGCACATCCCCAGTGCAGGATGTGCAGGAGGCAGCTGATCAATGTTTCTCTCTCATCGATGTTTCTAGCTCTTTATCCCTCTCCCTACCCTTCTGTAAAAAAAAAAAAAAATCAATAAAATATACTTTAAAAAATAAAATAAAATATTAGTGTAATGAAGCTCTGGGTGAATTACCTGTAACTAGAAATAAGAAGAGGCAAAATTCCTGGACACAGCAGGCTTCCACTTTGTGAACTGCTCCTCATTGTCAAAATTCATTCATTCAGAAAAGAAGGCAGCTACTTCAGGAGGCTTATCCTTTCCGCACTCATTTCCACCTACACCACCTACTTTCTGTGTAGATAGCTGTGGCAGAGACTGCTCATTGTTCTCAGTATGCACTTACCCTTGGTCCTTTTAGAGACAGGCCCACCCACACACGGTTTAGAAGGCACATTTCTCCCCCACCACATTCACAGCAGTGGGACAAACGAGACGTGAAATGTGTAAGTTCAAGTTGGCCTTTTGAAAATGAAAACGTTTGCCTTCCACTTGGTCTTTTGCCCTCTCCCCACAGCCTGGAATGTGGGTACTTTGGTGGAATGCTAGCACTGATGTGTAGACAAGGACAGCACTCTATGCCAGAGGTTGGATAAACTTTTTAGGTAAAGGACTTTTAAAAGATAGTAAATATTGTAGGTTTCACAAACTATATCTCTGTGAGAACTGGTCAACTCTACCAACATGCTGTGAAAACAGCCATAAATAATACCTAAATGAGTGAGTGTATTGGAGTTCCAATAGAATTTTATTTACAAAAGAAGGTGGCA